TTTTTATCAAGGTGAGGACAATTCTTTCTATTCCTTGTTTGCTGATTATTTTTATCATGAAACGGAGTCGAATTTTGTCAAGTTCTTTATCTGTGTCTATTGAGGTGACATCATGTGGTTTTGTCCCTTGTTCCACTAATACAGTGCATTACATTGATAGATTTTTATGTTAAACAACCTTAGATGCCTGGTGTGAATCTCACTTGGTCATGAGACATACAAGCCTTTTTATGTGCTGCTAGATTCTAGATTCTATTTGCTAGTATTTTTTTTTCCTGAGCATTTTTTATGCATAAGTTTTATAAATTACTCTGTAGGTTGCTTCACTTTTGAAATCGTTCTCTGGTTTTGATATCAGGATAATGTTGACCACATAAGATGAGTTGAGAAATGTTCTGTTCTTTCTTACTTTTTGGAAGAGTTTGTGAAGGAATGTTATTACTTCATCAATACTAGAGTTCTCAAATGAAGTCTTCTGAGCCCTGGTTTTTCTTTGTGGAGAGTTGAGGATTTGGTTTTTGTTCTTCTTTTAACTAATTCAGTTTTTGTGTTTCATTTAGATTTTGTATCTCTTCTTGAATCCGTTTTGGTGATTTCTGCTGTAGAAATCTGTCCATTTCAAGTCTCATTATCTAATTGAAGTTATCTAGGTTGATGGCTATGTTAGTTTGCCAGGGCTGCCATAACAACACTGATAAAAAAAATTTATTTTCTCACAGCCTGAGAGGCTAGAGGTCAAAACTGAAATGTTAGCAGGGTTGATGCACCATTTCGGTGTGTCCTCACATGCCTTGTGTCTGTGCACGGCGTCTGTGGAGTGTCCTCCTCTTCTTATGTGGACATCAGTCATGTGGGGTCAGAACCCACCCAGGGACCCCACTTAACCTTAGTTACCTCATGAAAGACCCTGTCTCCAGGCCCAGTCACATTCTGAGGTTCTCGGGGTTAGGGCCCCAACGTATGAACTTTGGGGAGGCACAGTTCAGTTCATACCAATGGCATACCATTGTTCACAGCGCTCACAATTCTTTTTATCATCAGGGTTGCTAATGATGCCCCCTCTTTTATTTTTTATTTTGTATCTATCTATCTCATCTATGTCCTATCTCTGTCTCTGTCTGTCATCATTCTGGAATTAAAGAGAGAATTAGGAGAATTAAAAGTGTACCACTCAAAGAACAAATTTTTGGTGTGTGGATTTTCACAATTGTTTCTCATTCATATCTGCTCTGTTATTTTTATTCATTTCTGCTTACTTTGGATTTAATTTGCTCTTCTATTTTTAAAAATTCAAATCTTAAGTTTCTTGATTTGAGGTCTTTCTTCTTTTCTTAATGTAAATATGTACAGCCATCCATTTCCCTCTAGGCCCAGATGGCCCTCCATTGTCAACAGTTACACCTCCACAGATTCCACATGTGCATGTTCTGCATCCACAGAGCCAACCAACTGCTGATCAAAAATATTTGGAGGGCCAGGGACTTAGCTCAGTGGCATGCTTTCCTTGAAAGCACAAGGTCCTGAGTTTGATCCCCGGCACCAAAAAAAAAGAAAAAGAAAAAAAAATATATATATATATATATATTTGGAAAAAATTGCATTCATATGGAACGTGTACAGCCTTTTTTCTTGTCATTATTCCCTGAACGACATAGTTTAACAACTATTTACATTGTGTTACATTGCATTACACTTATTATAAGTAATCTAGAGGGCTGGGGATTTAGCTCAGTGGTTCTGGCACCTGCCTCACAAGCACAAGGTCCTGAGTTCGATCCCGGGTACCAAAAAAAAACAAAACAAAAAAATAAGTAATCTAGAGATGCTTTATATCAGGGAGGTTGTATGCAGGTTAGATGTACATGCCACTCCCTTTTGTATAAGAGAATTAAACATTTGCAGATTTTGGTATCTACAGTGGTCCTGGAACCACTTTCCCACAGATAATTAGGGATGACTGGCTATATGTCTTTAGTGGCATCCCATGTTTAATTTTATCTTAAAGTGATGTCTAATTTTCCTTGGGCAACTTTATTTTTTTCTTTATAGCCCTTTGTCTCAACAAAGTGTGTCAAGCCAGGGATTTAGCTCAGTGGTTCCGCCGCCTGCCTTGCGAGCACAAGGTCCCAAGTTCAATCCCTGGTACAAAAAACACACAAAAAACCAGTGTTTCGAATGGTTCATTTTCATTGCTGATTTGAGCTGCTGTATTTTTCTTATACTAAATTCTCAGGTGTATTTGCATCTATTTCTTGCTGTATTTTTTGTTCCATTATTTTGTTTGTGTACCAATACCATTGTGTTTTACTCAGTGAGGCTTTTAAACATCTAATTATGTTATCATTTCAAACCTCTCCTCCTTTCTCTTATTTTTCAGAATATTTTTAGCTGTTCTTGTCTGTATATTTCTGTATATCAACATTATAAGGTTGCCTAGTTAAAACATTCTAATAATCCTAATAGAAATTATAATAATATCTAAAGCTGTTGTTAGTTTCTTAGGACCACATTAAAATTTATAAATTAAGACAGTTGGCATCTTTTTGACATTTGAGTATTCTTGCTCAGAACATTTTATTTCTTCATATTTATTCAAGTCTATTTTTATAATCCTCAGAAATATTTTTTATTTTATAAAATTTTTAACAGGAAATTTTCAAACACATAAAAAACCAGAATATGGGGCTGAGGATTTAGTTCAGTGGTTCCGCTGCCTGCCTTGTAAGTGTAAGGACTGGAGTTCAATCCCTGGTACCAAAAGAAAAAAAACCCAGAATAATATCGCCTGCCTCACAAGCGCAAGGTCCTGAGTTCAATCTCCAGTACAAAAAACAAATAAGAAAAACAGAATAATATATTGAACCATCACCATGGATCTGCCACCCAGCTGCAATATTGCTAACACATGGCAATTATTATTTAATATTATTTATTCCATCATATTTAAAACAAATCCTAGATACTGTATTATGTTTAAAATCATATAAAGTTTTCTTATGTAGTCATCTACATTGTCTTAGTTCCTTTTCTCTTGTTGCTGAGACAAAATACCCGACACCCAAACTTGAAGGGAAAAGGATTTATGCAGCTTACAGTTTGTAGAGGTTTCAGTCTGTCATTGACTGGCTCCCAGCAGAGAGGCACATGGCAGAGGGGCATTGCAGAGGAGAAACAGTTCGTGCCCACTCAGTAGCAAAAGCAACAAGGGGACCTCAACAGTGTCTTTCTGCCCCTTTTATCTTATCCAGACTACCAGGATTAGGGCGGTGCCAAACCAATCGTGTACTGATTTAGTAATCACATGCCCTTAATCCCAGAATCACACACTAGATTCACCCACCTCTGAAAAAGCCACTCACGACTACCTGAGGTTTTGGGAGGACATCTAGGCCCAAACCATAACGTACATTTCTTATTAAGCTTATCCCTTTATCTAACTATAGGTTGTTGTTTATTTATACATGAAAACATTTCTATGCATTCATCTTATGCCTTTGTATTATTTTGAAAATCTTTGTCCTCATTTGAATTCATTGATTTGAAGTATAAAGTGAATTACTATTCTTCATAACTTGTCAAAGATTTTGCCTCTGTGTTTACCTGGACTGTTTGTCAGGAATATGCTAAAATTGCAGCTATAAACTAGTTTGTAAGCTTCCAATCTTGTTCCAAACAATGTGGGATTGTGGCCAGAAACATAATTACCAACCCTGGGCTTTCTATCCTCTAAGGCTCTCAGAAGACATGAAAAACTTGGGCTGTCTTCAGTTTCCTGCAGCTTTGTAATGTATGTGTACTTGCTAGCCCCTGTTCTTCCAGTGGACCTGACAATCTTCCCTGCTGATTAAGTCAGGCCCTGAGATTAACTGTTCCATACCAACAGGGGACCATTTCATTCTTCGCATTCTTACAAGCAGCACTGATTTGATTAATCAGATATCAGGCTATGGTATGAAAAATAACTTTTTAGATAACTTCTAAATAGCACCATGGTATTGCTTTCTAGAACACTTCATTTTTCAGACTCCGAGTTTAAAACAGACCCTTTGAATACTTGCCTGTCTTTAACTGATCCAGCAGTCTCGCCAGAGCAAAATCAGGGACTCAGGGTCTCTTAGTAAGGAAAACTTCTGTTGGCATGAGTCTCTGTGCGTGTGTGTGTGTGTGGTGTATATATGTGTAGTATAGTACTAGGGATTGAACCCTGGACCTTGCACATACTAGGAGAGTGCACCGTACCACTGAGCCACATCTCTAGCACTTTCTATTTTGAGACAGGGTCTCAGTAGGTTGCCCAAGCTGGGCTTGAATTTGTGATCCTCCTTCCTTAGCCTCCTGAGTAGCTGGGATCACAGGTGTGCACCACTGTGTCTGTCTTGGCTTGAGTTTTTGTTTTTGCCTTAGCCTGTCTCTGAAATAGCATGTGGTTTTTCTATGCTGAATTATTTTCTGAAACAAAATAGAGCCGTTCTTTTGGATGTACCTGGTATTGTGATAAATTAATTCGAGTTTATTTTTTAAAATGAAAGCAACTTTTAGAGAAAAATATTTTCTCCTAGATTGCAATAAGTTCACTTGTGTAATACTTTCTGAAAAAAACTCATAAACATATTTCATTAAAATATGGTTTTTGAGGGATATGTGGGACAGCTTTGATGTGGAACGTATCCTGATGACAGGTCATCTGACTTGGACTAAATTAATGACCACTGCTACCTACAATAGTAATACTTGCTTCACAGAGTTGTTACAGGGATTGAGTGAATTAATACATGTGAAGTACTTAGCTTAGCACCCAGCGCATAGTGACTTCTAGTGATTGTTGGTTAAATAACCAATTAAACCTGAATATAGAGAAGTTGACTTTTCTAAAATCTCAAACCAGTTTAAGGAAAGAACTGAAATCTTACAATCTGATTTTCTCAACTTATCTATTGAATGAACTTCTTTCCCACATATATAAGTGGTTGCTCAGTTCAATAACCTCTCTCTCTTTAAAGATTCACCGGTTCTCAGTCCAGCTAATTCTGCAATCAATTTAAGTGGCGCTCAGGACCTGACCTGGAATAAGAATATTGTGAAACCACTGGCTTTATCTTTGCAGACTGTAGGGAAGACTTTTGCCACAGGTGATTTTCCTTACTTACATTTCTTTGGTAAATACATAATTTATCAAAGATGTATGTGATGTCTGTAATCACATAATGTTATACAAAGCTTTGTGTTCTCTCTGTTCCAAACAAAAGAGTCAGAACCACATCTGCTATGTGGAAGAAACACTGCAGTTTGAGTCTGTTCAAAAAAATTTCTTAGGGGATTGATGGCTGGCTTATCTAGTGGGGGGCTTGACAGCAAGCAGCAGGGCACTTCGAGACTGTTTCTGGTGTCCTAGTCTCAGAAGGTATATTTCTAGTCTGCAGAGTGATTCTCTTCTGAGCCCATTGGTGTCCAGTTGCCTCCAGGCCTCAGACCCTTATGTAGACAAGAAAACCCCAGAAAGGAAATGGTAATTCTTCAGTTGCTCCCTGAGGTGTCCAGTTGCAACGTGTGGAGAACCAATTCAATTGTGAATCTCAAGAACATCACTTTCTGTCAGATGGAGAACCAGCATCAGAAGAAGAAATTACAGCAAAAATTGAATCATTGACTGAAGAATTTGGCAGCTCTGGAGAGGATGTTCTCCAGAATTCTGAAGGCAGAGAATTCTATAAATGTGGAGATAAATCAAATGAAAAGGATGAGAACTTCTCTAAAAAAAGACAACATAACTGCGGTGAATGTGACCAAAGCTTTGCTTGTAGTACAGGCCTTATTCAGCACCAAAGAACCCACCAGGAGAAACCCTATGAATCTGATAAATGTGGAAAGGCCTTTAGAATGAGCTCAGCCCTGGTTCTGCATCAGAGAATTCATACTGGGGAAAACCCCTATCCCTGTAATTGGTGTGTTAAAAGTTTTAGTCGGAGCTCAGACCTTATTAAACATCAAAGAGTCCACACTGGTGAAAAACCTTACAAGTGTGATGAAAGTGGGAAAGCCTTCAGTCAGAGCTCAGATCTTATTATACACCAGAGGATCCATACAGGAGAAAAGCCCTATCAATGCAGTCATTGTAGTAAAAGTTTTAGCCAGCGCTCAGACCTGGTTAAGCATCAGAGAATCCACACTGGAGAGAAGCCTTATACATGTAACCAGTGTAACAAACATTTTAGTCAGAGTTCTGATGTTATAAAACATCAATGAATTCACACTGGGGAGAAACCATATAAGTGTGATGTGTGTGGGAAAGCCTTTAGTCAGAGCTCGGATCTTATTCTATATCAGAGAATCCACACTGGAGAAAAACCTTACCCATGTACTGATTGTGCTAAGAGTTTTAGTCAGCATTCAGATCTTGTAAAGCATCAAAGACACACACTGGAGACCATATGTGTGTGATCTGTGCAATAAAAGTTTCAGTCAAAACTCAGACCTCACTAACCATCAGAGAGTGCACTCTGGTGAAAAGCCCCATCATTGTGATAGTTGTGAGAAAGCCTTCAGTCAGAGTTCTGACCTTATTCTGCATCAGAGAATTCACACCGGAGAAAAACCATATTCATGCACACACTGCAACAGAAGTTTCAGTCAGAACTCAGACCTTAGCAACACCAGAGGATCCACACTGGAGAGAAGCCATATAAATGTAATGAGTGTGGGAAGGCTTTTAGTCAGTGCTCAGCTCTTATCTTGCATCAGAGAATCCACACTGGGGAGAAACCCTATTCATGTGATCAGTGTGGCAAAAACTTTAGTCGGTGCTCTGATCTCAATAATCATCAAAGAATCCATACTGGTGAAAAGCCATATAAATGTGATGTATGTGGGAAAACCTTCAGCACGGACACAGGTTTTACTGAACACCAGAGAATCCACACAAAGGAGAAGTCCTACCAGTGTGTTCAGTGCAGCAAAAGTTTTAGCCAACTCTCCGATATTATTAATCATGGGAAACTCCATTCTAGGGAAGACAGTTTAAATGGGATGAATATGGAAAAGCCTTTAGCACATACACCAGCTTTATTCAGTACCAGAGATACCATGCCAGAACAACAACGCTGTGAATGCTATTGATGGACACAAACAGTTTTAATCAATGTTCAACATTTATGCTACATTATTTTAGAAAGCTACTAGGGGGAAAATTAGTTCAATTCTTATAGTGAAAATTTAGCTCAGATCTCAGACATTACTAAAATCAAAATTTCCAAGGAGGAGTTCTGGGAGTTGTGAGAAGATCTTCAATGTGAATAAAATTTTTACAGAAAGTCAGTAATCAACAATAAAAAGAAATTCCTATATATTACAATTTTTAATAAGAATTTCTTAGGCATCTGCTATGACTAGCACTTTAAAACAAATAGAAAATGTTTAAGGTTTTTGTACATAAAAACAAATATCCTAAAACCAACAATTTAGGCTATAAAAACAAGGCATAATGCAAATAAGGATCCCAAATATCCTTGCAGTCTACTGGGGGAGGTAGGCCTATAACAAGATATTTTCAGTGTACTGCAGCCCAGGATTTTAGGGAGTAATCTGGAGTGAGTTCTTGGAGAAGCTTGGTCTTTAACAATAACAAGATAGGTGCTCGACAAAAGAGTAGAGGAAAGGCATTTAAAATTCTGGGAAGAGCAAGAACAAAAGTTAAAAGCAAAAGAAGGGAAAGGAAAGGGAGAAAAGAGCCTGACGTGCAAAGATTCTCCACAGTTTGGACTTATTAGAATCATAAAATGTACAACTCAGGGAGCTGGAGGAGATGATCAGGTGGTGAGCAAGGGAAGAGTCATGGGAGGTCGAGCCAAGAAGCGTGGCTTTTACTCTGTAACTTACGGAGAACAGGGATGACGTGGTCTGGTTTGAACTTGTGTTAGATTATTTTGGCAGCGATGTGTATGAATCCAAGAGGAGGGAAAGCTAGCTGGAGGTCACTTCAGTGGTCTAAGTGAGAAACGATGAGGTCCTTGGCCAGGGGAATAGGTTGGAGAAGAGGAGGCAGATTGGAGAGCTACCCATGAAGTAAAATCAGCAGGACTTGATTGATTAATAGGAGCACAAAGGGGAAGGAGTCTCAGCTGATGTCCATCTTGCTGGCCTAACAGAGGAGCGTTCCCTTGGAGGAGACTGCAGACATGTTGAGTCTGGGTTACCCTGAGACATCCAGGGAGCTGCTCACGGTCGTTTAACTTATCACAGTGGGAAATCAGGACTGATTTGAGCTGAGCCACCACCATATAGTTAAATTGTCAGGGTAAACAGTATTAGCCAAGGAGAGACATGGGGAGGGGATTCTGACTGTGAACTATAAGGATGGACTCCTACAGAAGTCCACCGTCTAAGGAGAACAAAGGGAGACCTAGAAGGAGGATGAGGAAGAAGAAAACTTCTCAACAGTTATATGTCATAATTTACACACCCACCTTTGTTCTTACTCCAGCCTAGCAGCTCCTGCAGGACCCACCTCTGGTTGGATTACAGACTTAAACAAAGTGGATTCAGTTTTCACAGCATTAAAAAAGTCAATAAAGGGCCGGGGGATTTACCTCAGTGGTGCTGCTGCCTGCCTCGCAAGCGCAAAGTCCTGAGTTCTATCCCTGGTACCAAAATAAATAAAAGAAAGCCATCAGATGAAAGGCTGATCAACTTCATAATGCAAGGATTAGGCTGCCAATTCTTTTTTTTTTTTTTTTTTTGGTTCCGGGGATCAAACTCTAGTCCTTGCACTTGTGAGGCAGGCAGCAGAACCACTGAGCTAAATCCCCAGCCCTAGGCTGCCAATTCTTTAACTTGTTGATCACTCTTAATATCATAAGAAAAGAGAAAACTGGTCATTGTGCGGCTTCTGGCAGGAATGTACAGGAGTACCTAGGAGACCTTTTTGGCAAAAAAAAGAATGTGAATTTGATCAAGCATCTATATCTATTTGTTTATTGGAAATACAGGGAACAAAAGAAAATTAAATGACACCTTAGGTATCCAATCAGCAAAATCTAGAAAATGGAATATTCTGCCAGGTTTTCAGAATGGAAAAATTTAATTGTAAGAAGAAAAAAAAGAAGGGGAACTCTTCTAGATTAAAAGAGGTTTAGGGGACACATTAACTAAATTCTGATGTGTGAACCTTTTTCAGTCTCAACTTGAACAAACCAGGTATAACAACCACTCTGAGATAACTGAAAAAAATTAGAATACTGGTGAGATAATTGATGATATTAATAGACTATTAGTGTTAATTTTAGGTGTAGTAATGACACATTGGAGTTACCCTTTTGAAAGAATCCTTTTAGTTACACATATAGAAGTACTTATGGAAGAGATTATATGATAAAAGGATTTGCTTCAAAATACCCCAGAGCTGGGCCAGGGATTTAGCTCAGTGGTGCCGCTGCCTGCTTCACAAGCACAAGGTTCCGAGTTTGATCCCCGATACCAAAAAAAAAAACCAAAAAAAACCTAGAGCGTACATGTGTATATGTGCCAGGGGAAAGAGGTACAGGGTATAGAAGAAGCAAAATTGGCTATGTGTTAAGAAATGGTGAAGTTGTATAATGGGTATGTAGAAGTTTATTATGTTATTCTCTCTCCTTTTATATACATTTAGATTTTTCCATGATGCAATGTTAAAATAATAATAAGCGGGGCGTGGTGATGCATGCCTGTAATCCCAGCACTCAGGAGGCTGAGGCAGGAGGATCACCACAAAGTTCAAGGCCAGCCTGGGCTACATAGTGAGTTCAGGGCCAACCCGAACTACAAAGGGAGACCCTGCCTCAAAAACCAAAAATAATAATAATAGTAGTAGTTTTCTCTTATTCCACCACCCCCAAAGACTCCACTGAAAATTATTCTGGCACCACACATGGTGGTGCACGCCTGTAATCCCAGCAGTTGGGAGGGTGAAGCAGGAGGGTTGCAAGTCTAAGGCCAGCCTTGGCTACATTGTGTGTTCACTGCTTTCTGCAAAGCTTCCACCATCTGATCAAGTGCACACTTGAGAATTCGAGGAAACCTCACTGATAGGACTCTACCCAGTCACATAACCCAGCTTGGGCTACACAGCAAGACTTAGCCAAAGGGAAAAAATGATTCTGAAAGATCTCTTGAGATCTTAGAAAATGATTTTTAGAAAATGTGTTTTTTAATCGACATGTGACATCTAACTAATGAAGGCATTGCTCCCAAGGTTGTAGCTGGCTTTATGTGCCTGGGCTGAGTCCTTCAGTGAGGTTTCCTTGAATCTCAAGTGTGAGGTTCATCAGAGGGCAGCAGCCGTGCAGAAAGCAGTGTCCTCCCAGCCTGTGTCCTGAGCAGCCCCTCCTGTCCTACAGATGCTGCAAACGGGAACAGCAACCTCGGAGGGAAGACGGCCGCGTCCAGCTTCACCCCAGCCCGCCCAGGGAGCTACTCCTTGTCACCACGACCTAGTTATGCATCTGTAGACCAAGGTACAGCACCTGGCTAGAGTACTGAAACAGTGCACTTCATTGTGGGAGAAGCACTACAGATTTTTGAACAGTGAATGATCTGACACACACTCTGGAGTTTTCCTTTTGCTTGCTATACAGTGTCTTGAAAGATCATGGTTAGTCTGAGCAATGATATTTAAATATATTGGTGATTTTGCATGCAAGAGCCTAGCTGGGTACTAAATGTTGAAACAAATGTATAAGAAGGGCCGGGGATTTTGCTCAGTGGTTCCGCCACCTGCCTCGCAAGTGCAAGGTCCTGAGTTTAATCCCCGGTACCAAAAAAAAAAAAGTATAAGAAAACATCTTTAAAAACCATGGCTTTTGCTGACCGTGCACAGGACTCACTGTTCCTCTTTGTTGTGTGACCCTGGGTGTAACACTTGTCCTACAGCTTCCAGCATTGGTCATAGAATCAAATGAAATAATCGGAATAAAATTGTAGAGCAGCACACAGATTTTTAGGCTTCCTAGTCTGATGTTGGATTCTTAGTGTGGCTTTTTTTAACTTTTTATCTTCACCTCTAGAAGAGTAACTTAGACCTTCTGAGTAAATTAAAGTAAAAATCCTGTCACTTTGATGTTCACTTTTCTTCCACCTTATGGAGGACAAAGCTATCTTTCTTTTTGCCTTCAGCTACCATCTTCACTTCCGGGCCACCAAAGAAACGACACCGGGGATGGTATCCTGGGTCACCTGTCCCCCAACCTGGTTTAGTTGTACCTGTTCCTACAATTCGTCCCCTTTCAAGAACCGGTAAGATTTTAACAGAAGGTAGATGTTAAAGTTGTTTGTTTGTTTTTTTTAAATTAGCAAAGATATCTTCCAGTCTTGTTCTTTCCCTGAAACCTTGAAAGTATATTTCCTTCCTTGCATCCAAAATTATGTAAGGGTACTGACAGTAGCTAATATTTTGTCCCCGTATCTCCCTCCCCTACAAGCATCTGTACTATCACAACTGACTGACTTCAATTCAGCCTTCAGCTTAGTTTTAATCCAAAAAAAATAATGATAAGCCATTCACAGGCCACAAATGGATGCGCTATGTCAGTAATGGCGTTCAATTTGCCCTTCAGCGGTCTGGTTCTTTGTGTGACCTATACATGTTACTCCTGGCTTCCGTGGTTTTGTCTGTGGCTAGAATCTGCAGGACCAACTGGCTCTCCTTAATGCTCTCCAAACTGTGGCTGTTTGGTGTCCACAGTTACACATCCAAACATTTGTCTACCTTATACTAAATAGACAACTCTTTTTTTTTTTTTAATAGACAACTCTTAAGTGTACCATTTCTAAGACACAGGTCGGATTCTTTAAAAACTTAAAGTTGTTTAAATTAAATAATTTTAAAGACTGCAGAGATCTTATATATACAAAGAATTATACCAATGTGTTACTGTGGTTGCCTGCAGGTGGTGCTGATTCATGATGAAGCTGTCTTTCTTCACACTTGTCTGTAGTTTCAAAGTTTACACAGTGGGCAGATATGCTTTTGGTAACCTGGGGAATGGGGAGAAAAATACCAAACAAAATCCCAAAGATTGCAGGTGGAAAAAACAACTAGAAAGAAAACCACTAAAATGCCAAATGGTAGTTCTCTCCTGATGCTATGATCGTAGTTAGCTTTCTTCTTCCCTTTGTTTTTCTTACTCCTACTTTTATATAATACACATTAACTACTTCAGTAAAAAACCATAAAACTAGTAGATTTATAAAACTTCTGTATTTATAAGATCTAACCTGGATTGTTTTTTATTGTATTTCCTTCAGCTTTCATGTCTAATCCTTCTTGTTAAACAACTTTTTTTTTTTTCCAGAGCCCCTTTTATCTGCCCCAGTTCCACAGACCCCATTAACTGGAATTTTACAACCTCGGCCCATTCCTGCAGGGGAAACTGTAATGGTTCCTGAAAACCTGCTGAGTAACTCAGGAGTTAGACCAGTAATTCTGATAGGTAAGCCAAAGGAAACGCCAAGGTACCTGTGCTCTCTGGAATTTAGGAATGTTTCCCTATGTCATTATTTGTGGCTTTACTCACACATTCATGCATGTATTCATTTATCCCTTTATTGATTCCTTGAGCTTTGATTGGTCAGCCTCCTCTCGCTATATTAAACATGTGATTAGAAGCCGAGAATAAGGCAAAGTCTTCTTGCCCTCAAGTACTGTTCAGTGGGGGCACCTGACCCCTCACTAGCACTGTGAGCGGTAAACAACCATTACCACATACCATGAGGACATTGCTACACACAGGATCTGGGAGCTACCTGGGGTCACAGCCAAGAGCTCAAGTAACTCAGAGGAGAGGACTTACCCTGCCTGAGGGCCTAAGACTCCTCAGAAGTGTTTGAGCCAGATCCTGGAGGTTGCTCAGAGTGGACAGGATGGGGAGGGGACATTACAGTCGAGGAAGCTAAGCCACAGGGAGAAGAAACAAGCTAAGCCAGCTCCCAGCCTCACCCCAGGGAACCGAGAAGCCCCACAGTTGGAGACCTGAGCCACAGGGAAGCACCTTCACATCAGTGTCCTTCGATTTCGAGTCTTTGTCCTTCTAGGCTACCTGGAAGTGGAGGGACAGAAATTTAGAGGCCCCTAGGTTACAGGACTAATGGAATACATTTCATACCCACATTGAAAGGCGCCTAGGGCCAGGGATGTAGTTCAGTGGTGCTGCTGCCTGCCTGGCAAGCACAAGGTCCTGAGTTCAATTTCCAGTACCAAAAAAAAAAAGATTCTCTGCAAGTCTTCTCAGTGTGGGGCCAGCCTAGGCCAGGAGGGGACTATCTGCTTTACCCTGACAGGTAGGGTGTGACTGCATGAGGTGTTATCTGTTCTTGAGGTTGGCCTGAGTCTACCCATTAGGTTTTGTTTCAAGCCCTGTCCTTTATCAGGCCCCTTTCCACTGATCCCAGATCTACAGGCATTTGGGAGTCCCAGTTGTTTAAATCCCATATGGTTTAGGAAGTTCTTTCTAAACTTTAGCATAATGCAACTAAGCCTTGGAAAGATGCATAAAACATGGGATTCTTTGGTGCCTGACTTTTAGAGAATCTCTCAGAGGAACTGTCATGTCCATCAGACCACCAGAACAGAGTATACCTTCAACATGGTTGTATTTTATCTACTTCCAAGATAATCTGGGGCTATTTACTGACATTCAGGAAGAAAGCTTCACTAAGAAAACTTTTGCAAAAGTCACTAAGATAACAAAAGGAGTAGGAATCCCCAAGCACTGCAACTGACAGAATATTGCTTTCAGTTGCTGAGTTTTACTCAAAAGATTTTCCCCAAAACCTCAGGAAGTAAATATGTTATTGTGGTTTGTTTACTTTCTCATCTGAAAAGAAACACAGATATTTTATCATCACAGTTTTACAGAGGATCCAGAAACATTTTTCAAACTCATCAGTCTTCTATGGCAGCAATATAATATTAACAGATCCCTTCTGTGGGAAACAGAAAAGTGATCTGAATATTTTGCTTCATGTTCATCTGATTAAATATAGAGTTGGAATTTGGAACATTGAGGTGAATCCGGAGGCTGGATATATTTGAGTAGTTTGTTTGTTTGTTTGTTTCTTTTGGTAGTGATCTCAGAGGGCAGGGAATTTTGTTAAGCGTCTTTGTTCCTCATTCACCAATATGCTCACCGGTTAGATCACAGAAAGAAATGTTGAATTGTATCGATCTGCTTCTGTTGGGGCAGGCTATGGCACTTTACCCTATTTCTATGGAAATGTTGGTGACATTGTGGTGAGTCCTCTGCTGGTGAATTGCTACAAGATTCCACAGTTGGAAAACAAAGATTTGGAACAATTAGGGTTGACTGGCAGCCAACTCCTGAGTGTAGAAAACATGATCCTTCTGACGATACAGTATCTTGTGCGGCTTGGTAAGTTATCTTCGGTAATCATTTGCTGGTGGCTATTTTTATTCTTTTTTGTACAGCTCTGTTTCCTTTCTTTTTCATGTTCATCCATCTGCCTATCTGTTTTCCTTCTTTCACTTCTAGCATTCTTCTTCTTCAACCCCATCCTCTTAAGACTTTTCCTTTTGCTCTCCTCCATGGCTCCACTGCTTTCCTTTGCTCAGCTTCTTTGGGTCCTAATGGAGATGAATTGCTCCACCTAGTGTCCTCAGAGCTCCAAAGCAGCCGACGCAGGCAGAAACCCTGAATGTCCCCTGGCACCCTTCTCCTGGGAAGCCCAGCCAGGCCACCTTCCTGAAAGCACAGCTGCCATCTGGAATGCTAGCGTGGCCATTGTTTTAGACAATTATTTTCCAGTTTTCCCAATTATCCTTTTTATTTTGTGTGTCTGCTGCCCCTAAACCCATTGTTTTCTTCTGGCACACCCCTCTGATGTAGTCCCGCTTTCCTTCAGGTAAGCGGTAACCATAGGCTTCCCTGCAAGGTTCTCTAGGCTCTAGGTAAGGGGGCTGCTCAGGTCATGAACCCTTCACTTTCCCTATTGCTGGGTCCCTTCCGCCCCACAGTGGGTCCAGCAGGTGTCCTGACAATGCTGTTGTTGTTCAGCACCATTTACATTGAAATGTCCTTTATTTTGCAAACTGCAGCAGTCCATTGAATATGCAGCCTAATTATACACTCACTCCAGGAATCAAGCCACTGATTTACTTAGAAAAATGTTTTGAGATATAAAATGACACAATAATTTCGTATGCATTCTCATGATCCCCCCCACACCCTAATACTGGGGATCGAACTCAGGACCTTGTGCTTGCCAGGCAGGCACAGCTCCACGGAGCTAAATCCCTGGCCCTCATGATCTTTTTTAGTGTTAGGGGAAAAAACTCTGGTGTTAAGAAATAATAAACATACTGGGATAAAACAGTGTTCAAAAACCAAAAGTTTCAGCAAGCCAGATTCGGCCTTTGTAGCATCGGATAACAACATGGCTAGAGCCACTAGTTCCCAGACAAGCAACTTGAATGGGCTTTTGGAACTTGCAAGATTTTCCATGAGAACCTCTCTCGTGACAGACCTAGGACTTGCAGATCGTGCTTATTGGCAGGTAATAAAATTATAAAAACACTTGGCTTTACAACTCATTTGGTGTCGTAATTTTAATTTGCTACACACTGACTGTGGACTATGGATGGTCTTCTAACCCCGAAAGTAGTTTCTAGATGCACCCAGAGTCAGTTTTTTAAAAAAAGTTCATAGAACAAGCCAATCACTGTATCTTTTTTATTTTTTTCTTTAATACTGGAGATTGAACCCAGGGCCTTTGGACGGAGCTGCGTCCCCATCTGTTTTGAGATAGAGTCTTCCTAAGTTTCCCAAGTGGGCTTCAGCCTCCTGAGCCACTGGGATTTATCACTGTATCTTTTTTTTTTTAACCTGAGTAATGATTTAAAAAACCAGAGTCTGAGTTAATTAAATAAACCACCTAGTCAAAATAAGATGCCTTTACATGACTAAAAGCTCTTATCTTAGAAATTTTCAATTTAATTACAGATTCTTCTGCCCACAGGATCAGTTCTCTCCAGAATTGTACTCCCAATTGACTGTGTCTCTCAACAGCTAAAATATCCAACACAAATAGCTGTTTTTCCCCTCACTCTTTTTTTTTTTTTTAACTGGGAATTGAACCTAAGCCTTCACACTGAGTCACTTCCACTGCCCTTTATATTTTGAATTTCAAGACAAGGTTTTACTAAGTCACTAAGTTGCCTAGGCTGGGCTTGAACTTGTGATCCCTGCCTCCATCTCCCAGAATGCTGAGACTACAGGCGTGCACCACCATGCTGGCTTGCTTTCTTTTTTAATCTAAACTTTGTACATTGGAATTTCTCTGTCCTTCAACTAACTATTCAAGAGTTTATGAAAAAAAATATTTTGCCTTCAGAGATTTTCAGAAGCAACCAGAATAAACATAATAGACATTTTAAAAATCTGAACCTGTAAAAGGATGGTGATGATGATATTTCGGTGGCCCAGATATGTAGAGGTAATAGAGAAGAAAACCAAGATTCTTTAGAAGGAACAGGCCTTTCCACACAGTCACTTTTTAAATGTTTCTCTGTTATTTCACAATCTTGAAAATCTTTTGAAGTAGATAATGAAACAGCAAACCCAGAGATGGTTGGAGGGTCTGTTAGAACCTTGCCTTTTCCTGTCAAACTTGCTCTCTCTGAAAAGCTATGAGAACTGACATCTGGACTTCACTGAATTCCTGGAGATCAGTACCTGAAGGAAAAATTACTACCATCAGGCTTGCAAAATGTGGACAAAGTCTCCTGCAATCCACTGCAAAGCATGAGGGTCGATGAGTGGAAGCAAAGCATTTTACTCCTAGAGAGCTCTTCCCACCCTTAATCCGGAGTCTTCTCCCTGTTTTTCGATTCCTAACAGTAATTCAGTCAGAACTCTCCAAAAGTGAAATTTAAGGTAACAGAGGCTGCTGGGAATATGTTGGATAATTTTATTTTCCCAGAATGCCTTTATATTTGGGATTTGTTATGCTTCCTAATAAGATATGTTGCTCAGTCCTGATTTGAAATGGGTCTTAGCATCACAACCATGAACCAGGGCTCTGAGCCTTCGGTTTGTCAATGAGGAACAGGGAGGGAACTGGAGTCAAGGCCACCTGCTTTGAGCTGTCATGTTCTGGTAAAAGAAAACATTAAATATCCCCCCACCTTCCTATCATGAGGAAGTACAAATCTAGCCACTTCGAGCTCCCTAAGTGTGTACCACTAACTGTGATGCCAGTTTGGCACAGCTCAATGGGGATCAGGAGTCTTGTGATACCCAAGAAAATGGGGGGAAAAACCAGCACCCACCATCACCTCGCCCTAGATAGCAGAGGGGAGGACACAGGAACAAACTTGACACTAAGCATTACCGATTCCGTGCTGTTTCTAGGTATAGATGAGAAACACATCTACAAAGATCCCTTTCTTCTAACTCTCCCTGGCCCCCAATCAACCCTGGAAAAGCCATGTTCTTGAATTTATTTACTTGTGACATGGATCATATTTTATTTAATTTCTCTTATTTTAAGAACATTATCAAAACCCCTCATTTTCTTACTTTCCCAGAAAAGATGGGCAGAGCCATGAGGCCACTTAAATCCCCATTAGAAGAGGAGTGACTAATCACTCAAGGTACCAGAGAGAAGTCCAATTCCTTATCTCTGGGTTCTTTGGTAAGGGGACTTTTGCCCTGGGGTCTGAAGCCAAGGCCCAGTCTCAGGCCACAAACACTTAGAGTCTGTGTCTATTGACGGGAGCCTGAATTTCAAGTCTCAGATTCACACAGCAAAAGAAATGACAAAATAGAAGGAGTGAATATATCTCGCTGGTTTTAATTTAAAGTAAATGTAGACATCATAATTTGTTACACTAAAATGCCATACATTGACTTGGTTATCTTGTTTTAAAGACTGGTTGAGTTTCTAAAGAGAATTTTAAAAATCCCCTACTTCCAAGGGCCATAGGTCAACAGTATAAACTTTTCTCTGAGGGTGAGGAAGAGGCCAAATGTCTTTTTTTCTTTCTTTCTTTTGAGACACTAAGTTGCCCTGGCTGGGCTTGAACTTGTGATTCTCCTGCCTGAGCCTCTCAGACTGCCGATATTACAGGTGTGTGCTACCACACCCAGCTCAAATACCATATGTAACAATCCAGAACACCAAGAAATAACTAGATGATGAAAGCATTCTGTATCTGGGGAAAGTATGGGGCTAATGTATAGATTGGTAGTAAAAACTAATATTCATAAAGACACTCTTTTCAAAATTAGATATAGATACAACATATTAAAGTGTTTTTTAGAGTACTGATGAATAAAATGAGAAATGACTGAAACTTAAACCTAACTATGCACCAGTAGTTCTGCTTCTATTTTATTAGTCAATAACAGTGTCCATAATGCCAGGTTATCAAGTCAAGAAACCTGCTACCTGGCCGGGCATGATGGCACATGTGCAAGTCACAAGTTCCAGCCCAGCCTGGGCAACTTAGCAACTTAGTGAGAACTTGTCTCAAAATAAAAAGGTTTTTTTGGTTTTGCTTTTGTTTTTTTTTTGTACCAGAGATCGAACTCAGGACCTTGCGCTTGCGAGGCAGGTGGAAAAAAGTTTTTTAAAAGGCCTGGAGATACACCTCAGTGTGAAGCTGCAGGATTCACTCCCCAGTACCTGCAGTGACGGTCTCCCAGGGTAGACAGTGGAACTGATTTTCTCTCTCGTAGTAGACCCTCTACTAAAGGGATCGGGAATAGAGTAAAGGAGAAAAGAAGCCTGGTTTTTTAAAAAGCAAGACTGAAAGAAGGAATTTCAGGATGGGAAGTGGTTAGCAGGGTTTCCATCCTTGGGACCTGCAGGGAAAAGCACTTACTTGGAGTTGAAGTATGGTGGGCTTCGAAGAACTGCAGACTGGGGGCTGGGTGGGTGTCTTTACCAGTGATTTTTAAATTCTAGTTGTAATTCTCTTCAATGTAGGTCCTGATCAGATACCTCTCAGGGAAGAATTTGAGCAGATTATGCTGAAAGCTATGCAGGAATTTACTCTGAGAGAGCGAGCCCTACAGGTGGGCGCCTCCTGTGTCCCAGTGTCACCGGGACAGCTCCCCTGGCTTGCTAGATTAATCGCCAGCGTGTCCCAAGACTTGGTTCATGTGATTGTGACCCAAAACTCTTTGGCCGAGGGCATTTCAGAGACTTTGCGGATTCTCAGTGAAATGAGACACTACCAAAGGCTTCCAGATTATGTTGTAGCAATTTGTGCTTCAAAAATCAGAGGAAATGAATTTTGTGTGGTGGTATTGGGTGAGTTCTTTTTAATTGTTTATTTAATGTATTCAATCATCTGTCGTTTAAAAAGTAGTTATTGTTTCAGGCGTCCGTGTAATGGACCTCGGGTGAACTGCTCCAACCTGGCTTCTTCCTCCTAATTTTAACTATTCCTTTCCTCCTCACATCAGACTCTCAGCTTGGCCAGCACCCCTGTCAGCTGGCTGTGGGAGCATTCTTTCAAAGCTCACCCATGTAACAGATACCCTTGTAGCATGTAATTTCTGTCTTTAAAAAGTTTTGGAAATGTTACATGCTGACATGTGACAAAGCCAGTGGCACAGATGGCCTGTGCCCGTTAGTCAGAGTGCCAGAACTTAGCTGATGCATTCCCCTCCTCACTGAAGAGTCTATTTTAGAATATTAACCCTAAAGACTGTGTTCTGAAAGTTAGTACATTACAAAATGTGCAGGGCTCTTTTCCCCATTCTGTACTGCCTTTCTACTAGGCACCACCCTGTGTAGCCATTTGAATTAAATTGTGCTTTTCTCCGGCCTATACTGGATGGCACTCACCTTTTTATATGAAAACAGCCACACACTCATCCTTTGGAAATGCCTGTCTGCCCCCCCTTCTGTGTTGTACGGATTTTTAGGAAGCATCACCAGACAGTGCTACGTTAATTTTTTTCAGATTCATTTGTAAAAACAGTAATGTTTATATTTATAATCATAGAAAATGATTTTATACTTTGTTACACTCTTCCCTAGTCTTTGAACATATCCCTGTTTACATTTTCACAATTACAAACTTAAGTACATCATTTTCTCCCTTGATCACCTAGTGCTCTATTATAAACACTTCCTGTTGTTGTCTATAGTTTTTACATCGGCATTTCAAATGTCATTAATTAAATGTCCACATCTTTTGACCCCCAATGCTTTTCCTTTTTTAAAAAATTTTATTTTATTGATACATTTTAGGTATACAATATAGTGACATTCATCATTGGGAATTTGCACCTTTACATAATCTCTCTTGGTTCTTATTTTTCCCCCTTCCCCTGCCCTCCCTTCTACCCCTCCATCCCTCCCTATTTACAAAGACGTTGTTTCCATTTTTCCATTTTTTCATATTAATTCCATTCCCTTCTTTCCTTTTCCCCTACCCCTCCCACTTCCCCTTCCCCTTTGCCCCTTTTCTTCCTATTTCACATTATCTATTATACCTTTTAGTCCTTATTTACACTTTCAGTTTCTCACTAGAGAAACTATTTGGTATTTACACATGTGTGTCCTATTTATTTCACTTAAGAGTATTGCCTCAATGTGCATCCACTTAGCTATAAATGTCTCTAATTTCTCATTTTTTATGGCTGAGTAGTACTCCATTTTATTAAAAAACCACATTTTCTTTATCCAGTCTCCAGTTGATGGGCATTTGGGCTGTTTCCAAGTTTCAGCTATCACAAACTGTGCTGCTATGAACATGGGTGCACATATATCACTGTGGTATGATTCTTTTAATTCTTTGGGGAAGATCCCCAGCAGGGGAATAGCTGGGTCAAATGGGACTTCCAGTCCTAGTTCTTTGAGGTCTCTCCATACTGATTTCCACAGTGGTTGCCCCAGTCTACACTCCCACCAGCAGTGGAACAGGGTTCCTCTTTCCCTGCACCCCCGCCAGCATTTGTTATTGGTTGATTTCTTGATAGCAGCCATTCTTTCTGGAGTGAGGTGGAACCTCAGCGTTGTTTTCATTTGCATCTCTCGAATGACCAGTGATATTGAATCTAGTGCCTGTCATCACATCCTTGAGTTGTTTCCAACTATGGTGATTCGTTCCCCTGATGAGTTGTCTCTTCTGTTCTTCAGGTCAGCATCAATCTCGGGCTCTGGCAGAGAGCATGCTCACCACAAGTGAGTTTTTGAAGGAAATTAGTTATGAGCTCATCACAGGAAAGGTCAGTTTCCTGGCATCACATTTCAAAACCACATCATTAGGTGAGTGGTTGTAAGATTTGGCAACACTGCCAGCCTCTGACTGCATGACTGAGTTTCAATCTTAGCCTGTTGAGATGAACTTGGAGCTGAAGCCTGCCAGCTGACCTTTTCTTGGGAATAGTTTATCCTCAGGATCCTGTGACTAGTACCACAGGAAGCAGGCGTGGTCCACAGGACGGCACATGGGTACTGGGATCAAAGCCTCGGCTCAGCGGCCCCTTTGGTGAATGACTTGGGCACATCCTTCCTTCTCCCTGGAGCCCAGCATTCTCATTTGTCATGTGGAGAGAGGATAATCCCGTTCTGTCCGCTTTGGATGTTGTGGAGGTCCAGGGAGACACAGCATGTGAAAGTTTGTCTGTTGTGAATATGATACCAGCAAGGACAGCCCTTACTGTAGAGACTGCTATAGAGGTCACCAGGCATAAACTCTGACATGAGTTGCTGGCTGAGCCACAAATCTCCATGCAAACCCAGCCTGACTCCTCACCCTGGAGAGTGATAAGGGGCACACAAGCGTTTCCTTCTTTGTAAACGTCTTATGTCCACTTTATTTTGACACAGGTGATGACCTGGACAGGCTGTTAGAAAAAATGCAGCAAAGAAGAGGAGATAGTGTGGTCACCCCTTTCAACGGAGACCTCAATGAATGTGTGTCGCCACAGGAGGCTGCTGCTATGGTTCCCACACAAAACCTGGGTAATGTTGCCTCAGACCGAGAGGGGGAAGGCAGTCCTTGGGACAGACATTACTGAAGCTAAGTCACTCAGGGTTTGGGGGAGTCCTCAAGCTGTAGACCACAACAGGCTGCACTTCATTGTCTGTGTAACAAATCTGGTTCAAAGGAAAAAATGCCATACCCAGGGGCCTGGATCAAAGGCTTTCTTTTTAGTAAAAGTCTCCTAAAATTAAAACCAAAGTCAAACACTTTATCTTAAATGGTCTCTTTCCCCCCCGAGAAGTTCCAGGATCCTAAGTGTTTTTTATTTTTTTCCTTAGCTCCACCAGCCATGCCAGAAAGCTGCTATGCTTGCTGAGGGACCTAGACTTCTGCTCCTTTGCTCACTTTCTGACTTATGGGAAAAGTTTTCAATTAGCAATAATCGTGTCTTGGATAAACCTCATTGGCTACGATACTGCCACTGCACAAAACTATCACTTTCTGACTTATAAAACCCACGTAATCTCAGGGAGAATGCGGTCTTCCCAGCAGACAGAGCAGCTGTAGCAACCCATCCCCTGCCTGTTGCGCCCAGCATGGACCGTGAGCCAAGTGGGAAGAGTCTGGTGGTCAGATTGGATTCCTTTGGGTTAAATTCCTTCCCTGGTTCATTGATTGACAGGGAAAACAGGCAAGGAGAGGAAAAAGAACAGGAGAAAGGATAGATAGGAAACAGATCCACATCAGCTGCTGCTGACAGCCATTTGGCCTGCCTCTGTAGGAATGTGTCATTTATATATGAGGGTCACCTCGGGCAATAAGAGTAGCCTGGCTTGGCATCAGCTCAGTCCTTAAACAAATGCAAACACAGGCCATAAAACGTTCTGACTTCTGGATAGTATTTGGTAATAAAGTGATCGTCCAGATTATCTAAAACGTGTTTATATTCATTTTGAATTGTTAACAAATAAAGAATTTAAATATTCCCCGAGTACTTACAGATCCAGTACATACTGAAGCACATAGCCTTGGTTTCCTACTTACGAAATGTTGCTTAAAGATAATTTTCTATTAACTCAAACTTCGAAATCTGCTAAGGTAATCCCTATCAATTTGTGCGTATGTTTAGTCCTTGCCCACCAAAGCTGTGAAATGAAGGAAATAGCAGCCTAACCGCATCAGAAGGCAGACTTGTTTTGCTCAGTAGTCTTTGTAGGCAAAAAACTATTTGGGATTTTTTTTTCAATGCCGGCGATCGAACCCAGGGACTTGCACATGCTAGGCTAGTGTGCTCTGTGGAGATGGACCCCCAGTCTTACTACTAAAATGTGCATCTCGGGGCTCTGCTAATGGCTCTCCCTGCCTGTTGCGAGACTGCTGTATCAGTCTCCGCTGTACCTGAGTGACGCGACTACTTTCTGCCTCACCTACATCATAGTTTGATTTTAGAAAACATTAAGTAGCATAGGTTAATTAGGCCTTTGTGATTCTGTTCCAGTCAAATGCCAACATGTGTTCTTGATAAAAAGCAGCCCTTAAGGCAGTGGGGGCAAGCCTATGGCACACGTGGCCACAGCAGGCTGCTTGTTGTCACTGAAAGCTCTGAAAGCTCAACACTGTCTTAAGGAATCAAAAACTGCCTGCTCAGGTGTTTCCTTACATTTCCTGCCTTTCACTGCGTGTGGATCTGCATGCAAGCATACCAGAGATTGAGTGCCTGATTATAGCTTGCAATAAAAAGCTACTGACAGGGACGGAGTATCTGGACAGTGTTGTGTAATATATCACATACTGAAAGGCCAGCTGGCTGTGTCACGGGTCAGTCTTCTCAGATAGTCCTGGCCTCAGCACTGGCGCAGGCTGAAGCACACAGTCCTGCCAGGTCACAAGTACTGGCAAAGACCAGTCAAGTGGGAAGAAAGGTGAGGGTTGTGTCTCTGTGACCTCCACTGTTCAGTCACTGGAAGAGCAATTTCAGACTGGGTTGCAGTTGACTAGCTGTAGAGGAGGTGTTGACGGCAGTGCCATCCAGAAAAGCAACCCAGCATGATCCCAGTTACACTGTCACCTCCTTCCCGAAGTTGGAGTTGGGCTCCGGCAGTAGCCTATGCCGAGATTCCCAAAAACCTGGCCACTCTGCCCTGTCTACTGATGAGTCCCGGCTTAACCTGAACCTGCAGTCGGTCTCCACCATCACTGGCTGGGCCAGGGGGTGTGGAATTGGGATCTGTAGAACGATCCATCAATTTTAAATAATGAATTCTGTAAAAATGCCACATGCAACTCCTGAGCACATATTCTCAGCCAAGTTTTTGGAGGAAGTAGGCAAATCTGTTAAAACTCAACAGCAGATGAGAAGAGCAAGTGAGAATTCTCAGTGATGGAGCATTAGTTACCGTGCATTTATGTCCCTATATGGATTCACAGTGACCATCACAGAAGTAAATTAATCTTGTTCTTGTAACTCTTTTTAATTTTAGATTTAGATAATGAAACCTTCCAAATTTATCAACCGCAGCTTACAGTTGCCAGAAAACTCTTATCCCAGGTATGTGCCATTGCGGACAGTGGCACCCAGAGCCTGGACCTCGGCCACTTCAGCAAAGTGGACTTCATCATCATTGTCCCGAGATCGGAGATTCTGGTCCAGCAGACTCTGCAGCGGGTTCGACAATCAGGTAAGAGCGAACTTTCTAAGAGGGCTCCAGCTGGGTCCAGTGTCTGATCCCCTATGCCTCTTCCTTTTGCTTAATCCCAGTGTTTAGAGGACCCTCAAAACATTCTTCAGTAATAAAAATCATAAAAGCACTTTGATTGTTACTTCATACTTATCTGTAAGTTTTTCCTCAAGGTACTCTACCTTTTTCCCTCCAAAGCCAAGGGTGACTTGGTGTGCATGTTTGCCACATACTGGGGAGTCCATGGTGCGCTCCATGGGACTGGACTTGCCTGTTCATTTACGAAGAGGAGTTTCCCAGAGGCAAGGACAGGGCTGTTCGGAGGATGGAGCCTGCCCCCGCTGAGCTCCTCTGTGCATGCAAACTCAGGTCCTTCCATGGCTTCTCAGCCAATGAGCACATTCCCAGCACATTTCCACCTAGAAAGCAGAACCACCCCCCCACCCCCCCCACCCCCCGGTACCAAGGAGGGAAAGAAACCTCAATTTAAAAACACAATGTAGGGGCTGGGGATTTAGCTCAGTGGTTTTGCTGCCTGCTGCACAAGCGCAAGGACCTGAGTTCAATCCCCAGTACCAAAAAAAAAAACCACTTTAAAATAAATAAATAAATAAATAAATAAAGACACAATGTAGGCCGGGGATTTATCTCAGTTCCATCACCTGCCTCCCAAGCACAAGGACCCAAATTCGATCCCCAATACCAATAAATAAATAAATAAATAAATAAAATTAAAAAATAAAAACCCAATATAGGGGCAGAGGAGATAGTTCAGTGGTGCCGCTGCCTGCCTGGCAACCACAGGGTCCTGCGTTTAATCCACGGTACCAAAAAAATAAAATTACTCCCAATCACTGTAAGAAAATAAGTAGACAGGGAAAAATATGTTCCCAGAAAATATGAAAGGGTAGAGAACAAAAATTTTACAAGTCTGTCATTATCCTTTATCAAAAATAGTGTGCCTACATGTGTAAATACTGAATAGTTTCTCTAGTATGAGAAACTGAAAGTGTAAATAAGGGTTAAAATGATTAAAATGAATAATTGATAATTTGAAATAGGAAGAAAACTCCAAAGGTGTAGGGGTGATGAGAGGGGAAGGGGAAAGGAAAGAAGGGAAAGGAAAAATTATGAGAAAAGAAAAAAAAATGGAAACGAAATCTATGTAAATAGAGAAGGGTGGAGGGGGTGAAGGGCGCACAGGTAATGGGGAAAAAATAACCAAGATACATCACGTGCAGGTACAAGCACCCAATGATAAATGTAAACATATTGTATACCTAAAATGTACCAATAAAAGAACTTAAGAATAAAAATAAAATAAAATAAATTAGAATTTCAGATAAATAATGAATACAATTTTTAGTACAAGTATGTCCTCAAATGTTGCATGGAACACATGTATATACACTAAAAATTTTAAAAAACCATTTGTTCCTAGTGAAATTCTAAAAAAAAAAAAAAAATAGTGTGCCTAGGATCACAAAAAGCTGAGAGTAATTTAGAAAATTGATGCAGCTGAAAAATGCCAACCTGAGGAAACTAGATTTGAAAGGGAAATCATAAATGTCATGTTGCTTCCAATTACCTTAGTTGGGAGAAACACAGATTTTAACTATAGAGGATGAATCATTTTTTGCCACCGTATTTTAGTTTCAATATATTTGAAAATAGGAAACAAAACTTCAGACATGCTTAACTTGTGGCGTGTACGTTCCACACCTATCCTACGTGTCTCTCAAACTTCATCTTCTTACAGATCACCAGGGCATAGTGTTGAATCGCACATTCCCCTCGGGTGAGTCCCGGCAGGCTCCAGGTTTTGCATTCCCAGGGCCAATGTTCCTGGTCTGAGGACCACAATTTGTGTAGCACAGCTGTATAAAAAACTCCCCTTGTTAGTTTTAGGAGCAAAATGAGCTGCCTGAAAATAGGTTTCCCCTCTCACGTGAGTCTCTCCTGGTGGCTGTGACCAGCACACGGGAAGTCTTGGCCACAGCTAAGGACACCGAAGTACCTTCCTTCTTTTAACCTCTAAATGCCAAGTTATAAAATGACCTCTTGGAAATACTGACTTGAAAGTGAGAAATGATAGAGGACAAATGCCTTCTGTCACAGTTCTCCCAGAAGCCAGCATGAGTGCTGGATTCTCAGCTACCACTACTTCTGGGTTTGCTTTCTGCCCCTGCACTGGAAGAAATGGGAGGGCTCCCGGGCCTCAAGCAGTCACCAGACATTTCGCCATCTCTTACACAGTTTCTGTTTCTGCACAAGCCTTCTTTTTTAGGTGTTTCACTGGCACTTAATTTAGAAAATTGCCACCCCTTGGAAATTGGCATTTGGGCCCAGTCCGCTGTGATCTGATATCCCAAGTCAAGCTGGCACAGCACAGCACCTGCTGGGAGGGACAGAGTCATCTCAGAGCCTTTTCCTGAAATAGCCTGTGGTGACTCTCTTTGACCTTGTCTAATAGATCCAGGCCCCTCGAGATAACCGTGCACTTCTGACAGATGAAGAAATTGTGTAGATCTTTCTTCATTCCTCAATAACTTCGTATTTTTCTCTTTTTCTTAACCTCAGATTTTTCTTTTTTTTTTTTAACCTCAGATTTTTCTAAAGCAAGTTTTTTTAAGATTGTCACCCCTCAGAAAAGTCCCAGAATGTGACCTGTTTGTTATATAAATTTAGAATCTAGAAAAAAATCAGCATCATGGGCAGATTTGGAAAAAGTCAAAGGAAAGCATGTTTTGACAATTATTTAGATGTAGCTTTGGCATATATACAGAAAGTTTTGCTGTACAAATAATCACTTCTAGGGGCCGGAGATTTAGCTCAGTGGTTTCGCCGCCTGCTGTGCAAGCGCAAGGACCCGAGTTCAATCCCCAGTACAAAAAAAAAAAAAAATCACTTCTGTGTACTTAAAATAACTTTCTGGTCTGAGGATGTAGCTCAGTGGCAGAGCACCTCCCTAGCAAGTGCAAAGCCCTGGATTCAATCCCCAGCTCCAAAAAATGAAAAAAAAAAAGATAAAATAACCATTTTTATTATAGAAAAATATAACTATGATATTACCTTGAAAAATAAAGAAACAGGGGTGGGGATGTAGCTCAGTGGCACAGCACCTGCCTGGCAAGTGCGAGGTCCTGAGTTTGATCCCTGGTACCGAAAAAAAACAAAATATATATATACACACACACACACACACACACACACACACACACACACTTGTAGCATAATTGTTCTAATTCAGAGGACTCCATATCCTATTAATTAGAATACTTCCAGGATACTGGTGCTATCAAAATGCAAGCCACTTTCAGTTCAAGGTGATGGGATAAACACAGGGAACACTGTGGCTGTATTTTTGTTCTTGGTTTTCAAATCGTGTAGATAGAAGTCCCCAGAGAATGGAGCCGGTCTGGCAGTCCTGGCAGGGAAGTTTTATCCTACTCGGGAGTGAGGCAGCCTGATGCTTTAACATAGGCATGATTACTAAAGAGCCAGGCCTGCTGACATCAGGTGGATTACTCAGTCTGGCAGCCATAGGGAGGTTCTAAGGAAGGGGAGTAAAGAGTGAGGAGAAAGCACTCAAATACATTTTCTTGGTCTCATCAACCTTCTGCCTCCTCTAAGACCACCTAAAATCTCATCAGATGAATGTGTATTTCCTGGGCAGTGACAGAGACAGCAGGAGCCAGGTGTGCTGGTGCACATCTGTAATCCCAGCACACTGGGAGGCTGAGGGAAAAGGATCATAAGTTTGAACCCCACTTGGGCAATTTAGTGACCCTGTTTCGAAATATAAAATTTTAAAATGTAACTCAGTGCCAGGGCCATAGGTTCAATCCCCAGTTGTACAACAGTAAATAAATAAATAGCAGATAACAGGTTGAGGGGAGGTCCTGGAAAGCACTCAGTCCCAGATGGAAATGAGGAACAGAGATTGCTTCAGGCCAACGGGGCTGAACGCATCCCAGAGTCTTCTGGGGGACACCCAGCCAGGGTCCGAATAGTACAGTTCCGTGGCCTCAGACGCCTTCCCTCTCTGCAGACACCTGCCTGCACCACACACTAGACCCTGCCAGCTCTGGCCATGCACGCAGAGGTTCCCACTGCCAGGCCGCAGGCACCCCTGCCACAGGGTCACGGCATCGGAGGCTGCACGGGGCGGGTGGTTCCCAGGGACCTCACACTACTGATCATGGCTCTGTCATCACCACTGCATTCCCTCTGGGGTGCCTTCCATCCATCTAAGCCCAACCCGCTCTAAACACAAAACAAGGCAGGAGGGTGGCAAGGTGGAGGCCAGCGCAGGCCACAGAAGGGAGCGTGTAGGCTGTGAACACAGAACGAGACCCTGTCTGGACAGACAGAGCAAGCCTCTGCTGACCCTCCAGGGCCCTGCAGGGCCCCTCCTCTAGCCAGCTGCCCCGAGGGGAGCTGCCCAGGGTCTCCCTACTTACAGCACAGCAGCCCTGCCACTCTCACCACATGACTGCGGCCTATCGGCAGCAGGCAGCACCAGGAACCTCCTTTAAGCTGCCTGATGTGCCTGCTTTCCTCCGCCTCTCCTGGCCACTGCCCATGTGTGCCCCAGGGGTCCCCAGCCATGGCCCCAACACAGTGGGCTGTGATTTTGTGTTTATGCATGACCCCCCACTTCAGCAGAAAGTGAAATATAGTGGGGACATGTCTGTCAGATCAGTGAGTGGCCTGACAGGTACTTCCTAAATATTTGCTGAACTGAATTTTTTCTAACAAATTGAATGTTAAGTTAAATATATTTTGAAAGGAAAACAGAATAGTTAAGATTTGGTAGTCCTCTGGAAGAACCAAATTTGATCCTTAAAAACATATTCCAAGCTGGGTGTGGTGGGTGGCACAGTCCTGTAATCCCAGCACTCGGGAGGCTGAGGCAGGAGCATCACAGGAAGTTCTAGGCCAGCTTGGACTATGTACTAAATTTAAGGAGCCTGAACTACCACATAAAAAAAATTTTT